TTATATATAATTAGATATGATTATATTTGGCCATTTTTCATATATAATCATATATAACCAATTTATATATAAATATATATAATTATATATAAATATTTTTTCTCGGGTAACAAATTTCTTACGTTATAATTATTGAAATACTGGATATTTGCATCTACCATAAAAGATCATAATAATTTTTATCGTTGGTAGTAAATTAATATATAATAACTATCATAATCAATTCTATACATGTATTAATGACATCAAGTCCTTATTTAATAAAGACTTCTATTTCATCGTTAACTTTGATCATCTCTCAAATTATAATATATAGAATATTATAGAGTTGCTTAAAATATACTTTCATTAATTTTACAATAATGGAAGTAAAATTTCAAAAATATGATATTTAACCACTCTCTAGTGATTAGTATGCCGTTTTGGTCAGTACACAGTAAAAAATTTTTCGTTATTGTGTATAGTGTTAAAATGTTTGTGTAGAATTTAACATTTTAGTATGTTGATTCAACACAAATTGTGTAAAAAAAGTAATCAACACAAATTTTTGTGTTAAATTTGACGAAAAATTTTTTACTTTGTATTGGTTTTTTTTTTTTTAAATTAAAAGCCCTTGAGATAATGAAGGCTATCTCTGAAAATCTATTAAATTTACATAAATTTACATCTATTAAATCTATTAAAAATCTACATAAATTTTATGAAGCAATTATCTCTTCTAGATGATAGAGTAGCCAAATTTTTTCAACATGAATTAATAGTATTGTGTTTACTTATCTTCACAACAGGCAATGGATGAGCAGCAGTCTAAGGATATGAACAAAGAAAATAATGGCAATACCGGCAATATGACTGAAGAAAACAACCCCCATAAAGATTTCGAAACTAATGAAGATTCTCTGGTAAATACGAAAGATTCTATCGATGGTACTGAAACTAAAGCAACACAAAAAAATGATAAGGTTGGTAAAAATTTATTTTCAATAAGGTTAAAATTAAAAATATGGCCGTGAAGAAAGAGTAAAAATGAAATTGAATGGGAGAAAATTTCTTCATTTTTATAACTTTTACCTTTAAATTAACTCAATACAATCGTTAAACATTTCCAATTACTTTGTGATTGCCAAAGAATATTCGAATGTCAGGTTCAACATGATTCAAAATGATGCAATTTTGTACATACCTCTAAACAGAATTTAATTGAGAATTTTTGTATCATTTTCTGTTGATTATTTCATTGTGAATGTATTGGCATTTTAATTATTCTTCTTCTTATCTAGTCAACATTTACCGTTTTAAACTATTTTTTTCGATTTTAGAATCCAAAAATCTTCCATAATTCTAAACTTGTGGAAAAATCCATGACACAACTGGCAATCCCGAATACCGACAAATTAGACAATGAGACTCAAATCATGAATGATTCGCTTAAGAAGATGTCTGGAAATAACTCTAATTCTCAAATAATGAAATCTCCGAAAAAATCTTTTGCTGTCAAGCGATCAAGAGATGACAAAAAAAAAACATAAAAAACATAGTAAAAAAGTAAGTGAAATGAAATAAAAGTTAACCAGTTTTTCATTACTTTTAATAAATTATTTAATAACTCATTACACAAGAATTTATCGAGTTAAAACTTCAGCTGAGTATCATTATTTTTAAAAATTCTCTAGTCCATTTACTTAGCTACAGCGCAGTAAAGCTTTTGTAGATGTTGATAAACCATTTCAAATGATTTATGAATATTTTTTTAAAAGAATAACGCGATTATAAAAAAAAAAAACTTAAATTCAATGAGTGTTTTATGATAAAATAGAATCGATAATAATAATTATTTTGTTACAGCGAAAATCAGTAACAATAATGAAGGAAGAGAAAAGCCTTACACAGTATGTATCAAAATACCGCCATATACATTTTAGGAAAATCGTTGGAAATGAAATTTTTTATTGTTTGGAAAAAATTTATTTATTTGTATAGATTGTAATATTTAATAACTTGTAAATTAAGAAGTACTAGCTAATTGGACTCCACGAAAATTTTTCTTATTAGATATTAATTTTTCTTCCTTGAGTTTTTTCGATAAGTTTCAAATTTTTTCGAAATCAAAGAAAATCTTGAAAAAAGAACTTGATTTTTTACATAATTATTTTCATAAAATTTTTTGAAATTTTGTAAATAAATAGATTTTTTTAAAAATCGCATTTTCTAAAAAAAAAAAAATAAAAAGAGTTTTTATTGTTCTGTGATTCGATTAACTTAATATAAATTATAGGAAGAAGAAGTCCAGAATGATAAATCAATATCTTCGGAGCAAACTACTGCTAATACTGTTACAGAACATGATAATACTGATCCTTATGATAATTTGCCATTAGAAAATGCTTCTTCCTCGATTACTTCGAAGAAATCGCGGAAGAAGTTGCGCAAGGAAAAAACTAAAAAAACTGTAAGTTGATTATGAATTCTAGATTAAAAAATGAATCTACAAAATAAAATGTATATTCCAGAGCGATGATGTTTCTCAACAGCTATGTTTGGACATTAATAGAAAATTGGACTGGATAAAAGAGCATGTCGGGGGATTAGAAACGTTTGTTTCTGAAAAATTGACTGAGATTTCGGAAAATTGGAAGCAAGTCGGCCGTAAGTTATAATTTTTTAATACTTTTTTGAGCCAGTTATACTTGAAATCATTTTTATGAACATAATTCACAATAAAGTATTGAAAATAAGTATTGTTTTGAAGGTTTCGCCATTCAGAAAATTTTGTAAAACTAAAGTTTTTTACTTGAGAAAATCTTATGGAATATAAATCTTATAACCTGACTTCGTAGATAATCTAAGAAACTTTTGAGCTTACAAAGAGATTATGAGTCGCGACTTGAAATAATGGGATAATAAAGATTCTGTGGGAGATCTCAATTTTATTTTTCCGGTTTTACTACCTAGAAAATAGCTCAACCTGCTGAATATTTTCATAAAATCGCAAGTTTTCTATATTCGATAAAAATTTAATTTCATAAAAGAGAATCCAAAACAGTATTTTCGAAATTTTTTGTGATACTTTTAAATTTTTTTTACGAAGAGTAAAAATCTGAATAAAAAAAATTTATGCACATAATGGTAAATCAATGTATTTTTTGTCTTAAATATCTTAACTACTTCATAAATATTTTAAGTTGAGCTTTATGATTTTCTTCACAAATCACGATCTTGTAAAAATAATGATTTTAAAATTACCAAATTGAATGTTTTTTGATTCAAACATTTCTAGATACTCAATCAATATCTGCAGGAAATAATACAGGTTTGGATATTTCAAATATTAACCGCCCTCCTGCTGTAGGATACGTACGCGTCGATAATAATACGGTATTCTAAGTTCTTTTAATTTGAAACTGTCTTAAATGCAATAATTTCTAAAACTTTTTTTAAATAATGCTTCAGATTCATTTAGGCCAAAGTATATGGCTCCCAAAACAAACTTACTGCGACGTATTTTTCAGTGCAACTACAAATGTAATGTTCGTAAAAAATATTGCCATGGCTGTGTACGGCGCTCAATATTTAAAAGAACACAGCGTAAAGGGCAAAGCTTGTAACAAAACAAAAAGCAAGCCAAGGCCAGCCATTGATAATAAAAAAGCTCTGGCTATAAAAGGTACATTTTTTTAAATAATTTATATAGTTTTATTGCAATATCGCGTGAAAATTTTTCTCAAATTAATATATACAATTCATTTAAACAATTCTATAATTAAAATCTGTATACTATAAATTAAAATTAAAATGTTGTTTTAGAAATTTATGAATACTATTTGAAAGAAAATAAACGTTTTACTGAAGAAGAAGCGGCGGAGGAAGCAAATAATTATGAAGATTATATTAGAGGTAAAATATGTGATTTACGACGACCACGAACATCATCTAAAAACAAAAGTATGTTATCTGCTCTTTTTTATCTTAATTCTTCAAAATAAAATTTTTGATGATTTTTATATAGATGTAGAAAAGTTAACATTTCCATTTATATCATCTTTTATAGAAAAGGACAATGAAACTCAATCTAGCAGCCGTGGCAGCGGCAACGGCAGCGACAGCGGCGGCGGCGGCAGCGGCAGCGGCAGCGACAGCGGCGGCGACAGCGACAGCGGCAGTGGCAACGGCAGCTGCAGCGACGACAGTGAAGAAGAACCGTCAAACCAAAAAAAAGATAATACAACTCCAAGTGTTTAAAACAGTTTAATACTTAATTCTAAAAAAAACTTTTAATTTCTTTAAATTTAACTTATGTTAACTCTCATAATAACTTTAAACTTTATATATTGACTTAATCAAAACTTACTTTTTATTCTATATAATTACTGTCAGTTGAAGTTCACTGCTTTGAAGAACATTTAAATATGATTCTCAACTAAAAATATATGAATTTATATTCTATTTGTCACTGGTTACTCTAGTATAAACATACTGCTACCATGATATTTTACTTGGAAATTTCCAGCTAAATATCATTAAATCCATGATTTTATTTTATCTAGGCATTCTGTTTAGTATTATACGAATTTAAGATACTTGATACTTATTTACAAATAAAAACAAATAGGATTTGTTTAGTCCATCAGCTGGATACTCCAAATAAAAACTACTGCTAAAATGGCGTTTTACCTGCGAACTTCCAGCTACAGACTATTAAATCTAAAATAATATTTGATCTGGACATTCAGTTTTAATCCATATTGTATGTAGATGGTTTCTAGAGTTATTTACAGATAAAACAGATAGAATTAATTTAGTCCTTCAACTGGATACTCCAATAGAAAACTACTGCTAAAATGACGTTTTACCTGCGAACTTCCAGCTACAAATTATTAAATCTAAGATAATATTTGATCTGGACATTCAGTTTTAATTCATATTGTATTTAAGTAGTTTCTAGAGTTATTTAAAGATAAAAAAAGATAAAATCAGTTTAGTCCTTCAACTGGATACTCCAATAGAAAACTACTGCGAAAATGGCATTTTATCTGTGATCTTCCAGCTACAGACTATTAAATATAAGATAAAATATTTGATCCGGATATTCAGTTTTATTCCACATTATATGTAGGTGGTTTCTAAAGTTATTTCCACATAAAAACAGATAGAATTAGTTTAGTCTTTCAACTGGATACTCCAATAGAAAACTACTGCTAAAATGACGTTTTACTTGCGAACTTCCAGCTAAATAGCGTAAGATTTCTCATCATGTTTGATCTGGACATTCGATTTGATTCCATATTTTTTTAATATAGTTTTAATAGTTATTTACAAATAAAAACGTGTAAAATGAAACTTTTTCATGAGGCTGTATAATCCAATATAAACCCGTACTGCTACTATTGTATTACTAATGGTTATTCCGAATGAATAACTATTAAAAACAATGTTAATTTAATCTGGATTCACAATTAAGTTCCTTACAACGGTGAATCTTGTTAATCCCGAATCCTGATTGGATATGCCAGTAGAATACTACTGTTGCCTTAACGCTATGTATGTAAATATGCTCATACAAACTACTAGGTTAAGTAAATTATTGTAAATCCAAATAAATTCCCTATAACAGATAAATTACAATAAACTTTATCGGAATTTTTCAGTTTTTAACTTGCATGAGTATGTATATGGATTTGCAGCGACAAATACACATCAGGTTCCCATACGCTTTTTTTTTATTGGAATCTATGGGATTATTTCAACAGGGATATATAGTCATATATAATTATATATGATTACATATAACCTCATACACAATTCCATATATAATCATATATGATTATATACAATTATATATGATTATATAGAATAATTAAATAGTAATATAAATAAAATAAAAAAGCACGTAATGGATTCTGAAGAGGTATTATTTACAAATTTCATTATTTAACGATAGTTACCCGAGAAAAAATTTTTCTATATAATTATATATAATTGTATATAATCATACATGATTATATATGGAACTGTATATGAGGTCATATATAATCATATATAATTATATATAAGTATATATAATCATACATGATTATATATCGAATTGTATATGAGGTTATATATAATCATATATAATTATACATAACTATATATGGAGCTATACACAGCCATGCAAGATTATATATAATCATACATGATTATATATCGAATTGTATATGAGGTTATATATAATCATATATAATTATACATAACTATATATGGAGCTATACACAGCCATGCAAGATTATATATAATCATACATGATTATAAATGGAA